ACATGCTTCCAAGTTCCGACTTTCTCGATATGCGCCTCAAAACCGCCATACTATATCTGCAGGTGGATCACTAAATAGACACTGATGTTATCCTACAAGATTCCCAATCGACGGTTGAAGTTGGTCAAGGGCTCAAGGACAGCTGATGCACTTCAAAGTTCAATGGTGCTCATGGTGCGCCATGTGCACAGTGCACACTGTGCACGGGTGACGGCAGCCACCCACAGGCTGTACGGTAACACGGGTACCGGTAGACGGCGGTAGTTGTACTAGGTACCTGGTACCTAGTCCGGAGTCCGCCGGAGTAAGGAGACGAGTCGCGTGGGAGGGAAAGTCGGGAGTCGGGACTCGGGAGTCAGACTCGGGAGTACCTACTACCGGTACCCTAGCGGGGAGGTACCTAGCAGGTACCTACCTAGTACCGTACATAGTACCCCACTGTCAGGCACAGTCAGGGGCAACAGGCAACGAAGTGTTCACACAGACTGTTCACTCTTAAAGATTCAGAAGCCCCGGGCACACAAACTAAGAAACCTAACCCAAAATTCACGCGCTCCGCTCCTCGGCCAACCCACCCTAACCACCAAGGCAACCCTACCTGTCCCCTGGGTGTTTACTAGTGAACATTGCGTTCAGTGAACACGTTACACTTCCGTTGCCAGAATCCGTCACCAACTCATCACACGAGTTGCCGCGTAAGTAACAGGCTCTGATTGGCAGAGCTCTGAATAGCTGCGCGGCAGTTGTAATCATGGGCGTTTCTTACGGCGCAATCTTGTAATAAGTAGTCGTCACGTGGGTTGCCAGCTCGCGGTCAATGCCAGTGACGACTCTTCCCAATTATGCAATTCATGACGGCAGCATACAGTACCGGACCCCGGTATGATATTTGCGTATACGTCATGGGCCGTTCAATTCAAGTTAATCTAGGTCAAACAGCCGTACATTCGCTTGACTTTATACTCGATGTTCTCGTGAAGGTCGCCTGTTGAAGCTTATAGCCATATTGGAGCTTCTATATTGATTCCAAAGTTCGTCCATTGCAGTCAAAGTGGAAACTGCGCTTCAGCTTTCAATCAATTCTATTGGAAATTCAAACAGTTCTCATTGCATGAGTCGTGCGTTCAGCTGGTGGCCTTTCAAAAGTGGAAATCCAGTGGGCGGCAGGAGTCTGAGTGGCGAGGATCCATGAGCAGGCGGTGCAGTCCGATCTCGTGATAAGCCAGGCTGGTGGGATCTCTCCTACTTCCAGCGTAGCATGGAGACAAACTGTACTATTGTGTCCTCTTACTAATCGCCTACATATCATCCGCTCCTACTTTTTGTGTGCTGATCCGTGTGCCACAACTAGGTAAAACTCTGTGCATACAACACATGTACCAATGGAATATTACAAGAGGTGTTCCAACCAACCGGCTTAAGCTAACGGTGCCATGGAGCTACGGCTCATTCATTTTGCATTGTAGGACAATGTCTTGCGATCTCATAGCTTGCAGTTGCGAAATCGACCCATGCTAGAACCATATGATGTCTCATGACCTAGGCCTGCTGCGGCCAATTTGCTGTCCATTGTAGAACGCCCAACGCCTCTCTACCACCACTCACAGCATTGAATTCACAACACCTTTTCCCCCTCAAAACCTGAGGTGCGCTTTTTATGTCATCACACAAGTCTTGAAGCGTCAAGGCTCATCAGAGGCCCAGCATCATCCGCGCTCGAATGGTCTTCATGTGGAACTGCTTCTCCAACCCTCGGACTAATAAAGGTAGCAAGCTCATGTCACTACCTTTTGAGGGTTGGATTTTTGTACTTTGTTAAAAACTCGGTCTAAATCGGCCATGGGCTCAGATGCATAAGCGTGCATAAAAAGCAAATGACCAACAGCCAAAAGTACTTGTGGTGTGAGATCCGAGAGAAGCAAAATAGGATGGAAAAACCTGCGCTCGAATGGTGCTACAGGAGATTGAAGCCGCCGAAATGGCCTCGGCAGCTTGAACACGTATGGAGGATGTCTTCCCTGTATCACGCAAGATCGTTGAAAGCCCTCGCACGGGTGCCAGCGATGTTGACTCGCAATGCATGAGGTCGTGATTGCGGTGTCCATTTAACAGTTCTGGGATGCAAAATCCGCGTTTGCAAAACCTAGACTTGCAGCCCACAGGGTTATTCTTGACTGGATCCATAAGGTAGATTCCATTCGGTTTGACTCATCTTCTAGATACCTTAATGTGTGTAGCTTACCTTATACCAAGCCGTCCGAGCACTTGTGTGGGTATTCCCTATCACCAAGTGTGGGGTGTCGGGTTGTTCCGACCGGGTAGCAATTCCCTGCTCCTTTAATGACCTGTGCGCCGCAGGATGTGTGCCGCCTTGCCAGCGAGCTCAGCACCGCAGCAGGTGCAGCGGCACATCCAGAGAGGCCACCTGCACCGCACCCCGCCCCGCACACAGTCAGTGTCCGGGAGCAACGCCGCAACCATAGGCACGGCGATGCACGCAGACACACGGGCTATCTGGCGCCATCGGAGGTTGGCAACCCCGCCTCGCGAAGCGGCATAAGCGCTGCTGCGCGACTCACCACGGTGTCGGGGCGAGCCTCAGTGGCGGCGTCAGGCCGGAGCGCCCACTTGCGGGGCGGCTCTGCGATGAAGGTGAGCTGCACACGCGCGCGGAAGGCCACCGAGAAAGCACTGCACACAGCGCAACATGCGGCGTCATTCTGCGGCATGGCGAAGGCAGGGGATGCAAAACACGGAGCTCCGCGAGAAGACTCTTTATGCGAAGCAGCTGAGCGAGAGCGCCGGACGGCGGCCAGCCACGGGCACAACGCATGGGGCAGCATTTGCAGGGGAAAGGGACGACAGCCGCTGCGGCGCGAGGCGCACTCCGCGGAGAGGGTGGGGCAGGTGAGCAGGCGGGGCAGCACGACGTGGAGGGGAAGCGCCAGGCCCGCGGGAGGGGCGCCGTCCGCAATCTGCACGGCAAGGGGGCGGCGAGGGAAGGCAGGGTGAGGTGTCCGGGCGGACACTCAAGCGGACGACAACAGGGGATCAGCGACACGTGGAGGGGAAGCGCGCGGGAAAGGAGGCGCCGCCAGGCTGAGCAGCAACTTTTGGTGTTCGCTTCTCATATGGTGGACTCCCGAGTGTTCATTTGTTTGACGCTTGGTTTGAAGACCTCGACATCGGATTCGAAGAGAGCTGACGAAAGATTGCTCAAGGAATTTCAGATATTGACACCACCGTTAATGCCGATCTTATTGGGCGCCCGCTCTCCCCCCTCTTGAGTGATAACCAAAAGGTGGTTAATGCGAGCGCGGGTGCGTACCTGCGTCGTCTGCACGTCCGTGACCTCTGTGGCCATGCGGCCCCCCACGCGCACCGCCTCCACGCGCAGCACCTGCAGCCAGCACGACGGCGCCCACGTCAGAGCAGCGGCGACGGGAAAACAGCGACACCGCCTCAGACGACCTTGCAGCCCGCCCAAGGATAGAAAGGTGATGCCCGTCACCTAAACCTCGACAATCCAGCCAGCTGGCAGCGAGGCCTGAGCCCCCTCCGCCCGTGAGTCCAAGATGAAAACACAGGAGATACGGGCGGTCCCTGCTCAAAGTCCTGTGCTGTTCAAAGCTGCCAACAAGACGGCAAAGGCCTCCCTGCATCCCTCGCCAGCCTTCAAGGAGGAGCATGCACCCGTCCCTGACTGCTGAACACGCTCACGCCATCATCACCATTGGTGCACACAGTTTCCATTGCCGCAATGATGCCCGTTTTTAAGGCTCGGGGCGGCCATTCCCGTCGGCTGACCTGCAGGTCGATGGAGTGCAGCTGCGTGCCGCAGTGGTCCAGGCGCAGCTCGCCCGTCAGAGGCTCCGCCAGGCAGCACCGCGTGGCCACGCGGCCCGACACCTGGAACCCCGCTGCGCAAAGACAAGGGGGAAGGGGGACATCGGTAAGAGGAGGGATGAATTGACTGTACGCACGACGGCGGGTGCGTGGGTGAAGCGAACGGACGACCGCGGGAGTCTGAGGCGCATATCACGTTAGCACTTGTAAAGAGCCAAAGTTAAAGACAGTGATCACGTCTCAAGGGAAAGATTCAGTAAGAAGAGGCTAGAATTAGACGCCTGTTCGCCCACTTGGTCGACCACGTCCAATCGCGAACTAGCTGCGTGCCAGACTCGGCCGACTTGACAACCTCTGTGTTCATCACCAGACCAAGTTGCTCACGACAGCTGAATCTTAAGACGTTGACACTAATCAGCAGACGCATTGACGTGTGAGACGTCCACAGGCGGCTCACCCGCTCGTATGGCTGAGCCCAACGCTTCGGGCTGGTTGTCCGGGGTGAGAGCAAAGTCCACGAAGGTCGGGTCGGGGGGAGGCCGACGACCTGCAACAATGGGGCAGCAGTGGGAGGACACTAAAGATGAGAGGAACACACAAGTGAAGCCGCAAGAACAGAACATAGGGTACCCGCCAGAAGTGTGCCAATGGAAGGCCCCTTGAAAACATCTGAGCCGCGACGTAAGTGTCAAGAGCAGATTCTTTTCCAATCACAGCAACTGAAAGCAGGAGAATTTGAGGACATCAGGATCAAGGACTCAGGAGTTGTTCTGCAGGCACGACAGGGCCCTCCATGTTGGGTCACAAAACATAATGACTCTGCTCGAACAGGAGGATGGTCCTGGCCGTTGCTCCGTTTGCCACATGAGGCGCTGCCTGCACGAGCCTCACCGCGGGGTCCTTCAATGATGAACTCGGCAGAGGCCTGCAGCGTGCGCTTGAGCACTGGCCGTCGAACCTCCACAGAGATTGCATATGTCACGCTGACATAAGCGCCGTGGTACGTCTCCAGCAGCACTGACGACGACTCTGCCGGGTCGAGCTTCACGCTGAAGGGTATCTGGGACAGCCACAAACAAAAGGTGATCAGATGTAGGTGAACAAGCAACAACGAGGTTGGCCTTACATGTTGTAAGATCCTGATGAGATTTGAAAGCTGAAGATTGCACCCGTTGTAATTGGGGGGAAAGTGTCAATTTCGGCTCACCTGGTTGGTAGGCCCTTCCAGCTGGCCCGCAGGAGCCGCCTCAAAGTGAGAGGAGCTGCACACAGGCACGGGCCACAAGACAGGGTGAGCGTCACCGCTCAAACTGTGAGCAGCAGGGGGGACCATGTGCCAAAGGGCTTTGGCTGCCGATGGGGCCGACGAAACTCGTCACGTGTCCAGAGGCTGTCTGGATGGATGGGACTGCTCAAGCCAGAAACAAGTACCAAAGATTTATTTGATGCTTAGCGACTGATGTGATGGTGCGATGAGCAGTCGCCAATCCTTCCGCAGCAGACAAGGCCCGAGGGGACACGGAGGTATGACAGAGTGGGCTGCTCACAGGAGGGGGATAGGCTTGACGTTGCTGTAGAGGGACTCCAACACACCCAACGCCTTGCTGCTCAACTGCAAGACGGGGGACCCAGTCTCCGGTGAGCTGAGAAACTTGCTCCGTGCTGCTACTAATGGTTTACCTGACTGCAAAAGGTGAATCAAGCAGCATAGCCATTTTACTGGGCCATGGGACTCAACAAAGCACAGTAGTGTTCTTGGGGGCAACAGCTCTAGTAAACGGTGCAGAAAAGAACTTCGTATGTTAAAACAAAGTCAACTTTGACCGCCATTCTCGGAGAGCAATGGGATCCCTTCCTTCTTCTGGCAAGCTGACCCCCAATCCCAGGTATGACGCACTCACTTAGCCCATACTACATCGGTCCATCACTGTGCAAGTCTCAGAAAAGCAACCGCATTGGACGAGGCCACACTCATCACCATGCTTGAAGTAATTGGTGGCAGTGGTGGCAAGGTCACTTTGTTCCTCATAAGCCCAAGTTGTTTCGACAGGAAACTTGCTGCCCTGATTGCGGCCCGAGATGCCCCCTGCAGATCCACCTAAAGAGCTTTATGTGCGCCATTCCACTGACCTGCAGGTTGACCGTCCCTTCAGCCTTGACCCAGATGCCTAGGTGGGGCAGCGTGGGGTGGGGCGTGCGCACCGTGATGATGCCCTCGAGCAGCTCGCCGGGGTGGAAGATGCGGTCAACACGCAGCAGCTTCACCTCCACGCTGGACATCGCATATCGAGCAGAAAAGATCAGGGCAAGCAGTGGGGAGACTCAGAGTCGGATACCTTCATCTGCAACCAGCGTCCTGAATCAGTTGCACGTTCTGGCCTCTTCTGCAAATTCCAATGTGCCCCATGCAGGGCCATCCACTTTCAAGCATCTCCGCATTGCAATCTGCACAGTAATAAAAGTGCCAAATTCCAGGGACGAATAGGTCCGATGATAATCCCTGATCGGCGGACAAATCGGGCCTATGACACTTGACAAAAGGGGGTGGCACCGCCGTTGCATCGCAAACCGTCCGATCGGCGACGCACGGTCCGATATCGACCGTGGTCGACGCGACCGTGTCGACCCACAAAGTTGCTCGTCGCGACCGTCTGAATTGCAGTACATAAGGGCAGGGGGTGGGGTGTTGGTTCGCGACGGCTTGCCCCGGGTGCCACCAGACTGCAAGTCCACTAGCATTACGCGGCTGCATTAGGGTCTCGCACACCGCCCGGGGAGCAACCGGGCCCTCCCTGTGACATTAGGGTCTCGCGGGCAACCGAGTGACAACCGGGCACTTCCCTGAGACAACCGGGCCTTCCCGCTTTAGGGTTACACCATTGCGACTAGCAACCGAGCAAGTCCTTTTAGTTTTAGTGTATGCCCGGGGATTCCCTGTGTCTCTAGGACACTGGATACCAACAGTGTCATAGGCCCGATTTGTCCGCCAATCGGGGATTATCATCGGACCTATTTGTCCCTTGGATTTCGACTTTTATACCTCAATCTGCATGAACGTTTTGAGTCTGTCTAACCGCGTTTGACGGGTGGGACTTCGTTAGGCCCAGCAACTGAGCCGACCTGTTCACACATGACCTGGTTAAAGCTGGTAACCTGCGCCTGACCGGGAGAGCTGTGCTTCTCAATATTGTGTGCCACATTCCACTTGAGTCTTGAGAGAAGTGAAGGCGATCCTATTCACGTAGATTGAAGAAAGGCTAGCGCTTGGGACCTGCACATGTCAATGGCTATGGTTGCTGCGGCTGCTGCTGCCCCTGCTCTGGCGGCTTGATCCTCACGCGGCATTGGGCAGGGTGCCACGATGTACGGCCCCAGCCGCACGGTGTCGGGCGTTGCAGATGTGGACGCCCTGTCCAGCAGCCTCAAGGGCCTCCCAGTGGAAGCGGCATTCACGCAGGTGGGTGGCTGCACAAGTAGCCCATCAGGAGTGGCGACCGGGGCTGGTGGTGCTGGCGCGCTCTTGCTGCACCGCTGCCTTGCTGCCTCTTGCACCACCCGCTGGATATTGCGCACATACGTGTTATTGAGCTTCTACTTTAGGTGTGTTTAAAGTACTTTCGGTGCACCCATTAGTGGCGCCAGATCTCCCTTGAAGGTTTTCCTCTTTTCAGCTGTAGCCACTTCAACTGGTGTTCCGGCCGATTGCTCCGCACGGTGGTGCTCTCTTATTTCACGTAAGGCAGCCCCAATTTGTTTAGCGCTGGTCCTTGATGGTGGTGTGAGTGCCCTGGCCTTTGTTTGCCAGGTGACCAACTACCTGCGGCTGCACCGGGAGCAGGCCAAAGACTTTTTCCGCATCTGCTTCCCTGTGCTCCTCCAAAGGTGAACCCCCCTGCACTATCTTTTCTCCTAAGCTGGACACGTTCAAGGCCACTCGTCAAGCCACCGGGGAACCCATTCTTAAGCCACATTTGTGCCACCGCTCCCATCGTGGTAAGGCAGCCACACTGCAACCTATCCCCTAGCTGGGTGTAGGGTCCCAGTAGAAGCAAAGATGCGTGCCGCCCAGTGCCTCATGTCCAATGTTTGGGGTGCACGCTGTTCCCTCGCCGCTCCTTCATGTGCTCTGTGCATCTCTGAACAAGGATGGTTGCGTTTCAGGATCTTTGGCTTTGAGGACCACCCCACCGGCGGGCCAGTCGCTGCGCCTGCACCATCAGCAGGTATGCATTTACACCACTATATGAGCCCCTCTCTGACACTGACTGCGTTTGAAATTCTGCGCGCTTGACTCAGGTATCATGGAACCAGAGCAAAGGGGCCATAGCGGCATTGCAAGGCTTCCCAGCTTCTTGCTCCTCTCAACCAGTGTGGCTCTGTCAATCGAAGGGCAGATTCCCATCGCCCACCCCACTTTCGCATATCCCTTTAAGAGGCACCCCGCCCATTGATGATCCTCCAGTTGCCCCTTGCAAACCTCTCCCCCTCTCAGCCTAGTTCCCCCCCGACAGGCGGATGGCTGCAGCAGGCCTCCATCGCCGGCAAGGAGGGGGAGGCGCGCGCCCTGCTGACCTGCCTGGACCCTGGCGCCGCGCTGTTCCAGTCGCTGCTGGCGGTGGACCGCGCCACATCGGTGCGCTTTGTGTTCCCCCCCGCGCGCCTGCCCGACTGGGTGCGCCGCCTGCTGGCCTCCTCCCAGGGGGCGCAGCTGCTGGCGGAGCAGGCGCCGCTTTTCCAGGGGGCCATCATGCAGGACGCAGCAGGCCGCTTCCAGGTGAGCGCCCCGGCGTGCCCCGCCGGCGGCACCTCACCACATCTTCGACTTCCTCCCACTGCGCAAGCTATGGACCTTGGGCTACTTGGAAGAACGGGGCAAACCGTGCTTTATGCGCCTTGAGCAATCCAACACGGCAGGTGTCTGTCAATGTTTATCGAGACTAGCGCTTTCTGCCGGCTTTCCCTGTCCAACCTCGTTCAGACGTCCCCTGCGTGTCCCCCCTGGCTGGCTTGCATCTCTCTCACCTCCATCGGTGGCCCCGCCCCAGGTGCACCTGGGCCTGTGCCAGTACTTTTTCTTCTGGTACGCCTACTACGTCGTCTGCAAGGACACCGCCACCTCCCGCAACACGCGCCAAGCGCAGGCGCAGGCCGCACAGGTGAGGGCGCCCAGCGACGACCCACACCGCCCCTGGCTGGCACCAAGGACGATTTTTGGCGCTTCTCGTATCCTCCATCCGGTGGTTCAAGTTTTTCACTCCACCGTCCTGCTCGTTCATTGTTCGTCAAGCATGTGGTATACTTGATAGCCGGAGTCCTGTTCCTTTCTCGTCAAACACTACATCAGTCAAAATTCGAAGGGCTTCTACTATATTTGGTGCGATTTATTGAACGAAAGGAGTGCCTTTCCAGCCAATGGTAGACACCTGGATTGCGAGCTTTGACATTTCCTTAATCGCAGCGCCACGATCCGGTTGAAATTACGAACTCTACTTCCGCAGAAGTTAGGCAGGACAGGTTCTAAACCTGGTGCGAATTACTCAATGAACCAGCACAAATGAGAGTTTTGATCAATCAATGTTCCGCCGCCAGGGATGCGATTCTTGGTCGTCCCCGGAATAGACCCTGTGGATAGAGCGGCACATCTCATCGGCCCCACCTGTGTCTTGTATTCCTGCTAGGGCCACTTCCCCGCTCGCCGCCTCGACCCGTGGCCGTCTCTGAAGCTGCCCGGCCTGCCGTCCCCCTCCGCTGCCCCCGCGGCCCCCTACCGCGACCTGCTGCGCCGCTACCTGCGCCACTTTTTGCCCTACTCCGCGCCCGCCATGCTCGCGCCACCGCCTCCCGCCAGCCCCCTCCGCCAGCTCAGCCGTCTACCCTCGGGGACCCCCGAAGCGCGCACGCCCCAGGTGACCTCAGAGGCCCGCTTGCGACAGTGTGCTTGGTGTTAGCCTCGGAGGTTTTGGCACCTTTTGTTGTCGGATGCTGAATGGACCGTGTTTTTGGGCCCTCCCACGAGGACGTACTCGCAGTTGGTGGCCTTAAGTCGGATTGCAAGACTTGCTCTGGCCTCGCCCGCCCCAGCTTGCTGCATGTACGCTTCGGCTGGTCGGGCTGCGGTCCGACGGCGCTCAGGGCAACTGCCGACACTTGGCCTCCGGGCTTGGGGGGCTGCTTCTCCTGGCTATTGGGGTCGCCCGCCCTTGCTGGTTTCTGCTTCGTTTGAAAGCAAGCGGCAACCGTCCCTTTCGGGCTCTTCTTTTTCCCGCTCTCTCTCACACCGCAAGAGCCTCATCCGCCCTGGTGAACAAGCTACCGCTGCCCTCGACCCACGTCCCCGCCTCATCCCGTGGCTGCTCTGTGCTACAGGCTGCCAGCGAGCGCGCTGCGCCCCTCTCCCCTGGCGACATCCTGCTGCACACACTGCTCACCTTCTGGCTGCGCGACGGCGACCCCGCCCCCTTCTCCGCGGCGGACCAGCGTTTCCTCCCCGCCCCCTACGGCGGCCCGGCCCCCTTCTCGTACCCCCCCGCGGGGAGCGACCTGCTGGACTGCCTGCTCATCCTGGTGTCGTACATCGACGCCAACCCGCAGCTCGCCGCGCTGCAAGCACATCCCCCGCCCGGCCCCCGCGGCGCGGCCCGCCCCACCTTCGAGCGGGCCTTCAGCGGCTCCTTCCGCAGTCCGCTTCCTGGGGGCCCGCAGCCCGGCTTCGTGGCCCCCCCCCTGCCCCCTGCGTCGGCGGCGCTGCAGCGGCCGCTGTATCGGCTGATCTTGCGGGCGCTGCTGACGTGGCCCGTCCAGAACGGCGGGCTGGCCAAGATCGAGAAGCTGGTCGACGTGTGGGCGCGCCACCTGCAGCCCTGGGCGGCGGCCGCACAGCAGCAGCAGCCCCCCCGCCACGCCGGCTTCCACCTGCAGCGCGCGCAGTCGGGCGAGGGGGGGCAGGCAGGGCAGGCCCCCGCGCCCGGGTACGGCGTCAAATGGCAGGGGTACGTGCTGGCCAGCTACGCCTTCTACAACCCGCTGGTGGTGCACCTCCTCGAGTGGGCCTGCCGCGCGGGCCAGGCCGACGCTGCCGCCACCGCACGCATCGTGAGCAAGGTGGGGGTCTCCCGTCATGAGAGTCGACGTAGCCATACAAACAATATACAGGGCGGTTGACTGAGTTGCATCGAAGGCACATCCCACGCATGCAAGTCGCTTGTCTCCTTTTCGGGTCGGGGCACATTGCTGGGTTATAACAAGGTGCAATCTGGAAACATGGTATTGAGACGGCTTTAAAGAGCGTGCCGCGCAACGTGCTGACTCTCGCCGGTCCTTCCCCGGCGTGCTGCCAGGTGGTTGGCGCGCTGCAGTCGCCCCCTCTGGTGGAGCTGCTGCGCAAGGTGGAGGCGGCCTACGCTGGCCACGTGGCAGCACGGCATGCTCCGGGGCAGCAGGCGGACCTTTGCAGCAGCCTCGAGGAACAAATGCGGGTGAGCGCGGCTGCCTCTGAGGACTACCTTATGTTCCTTGGAAGTGGGATTTTTCGAAGACAGGCGAATATCTATACTTAAAGTCCTTCCTGAATTTGGTTGTGCCTCTGTCGACTGTCGACTCTGGCTTAGCATACATGGAAGCTGTTACGACGCAAGTCGGTTCCAAATTTTGGTGGCCGTTCCAAATCGACCTTCTCAGATTTATCCAAATCCTCTCTGACTTGCCTCCCTGCCGTTCTGTCCCTCCGGATCTTGTCTCCAAGAAAGGAAGCAAAGCGGTTGTTGATTAGTTTTTGTGTCCGTCTCTTTGTACCCCCCTCCTGCTGCTCATTGTTCTTGCTTCCTTCCGGCAGGACTGGGAGAGCGGGCTGGTGCAGCCGGCCCCGCTCCTGGGGGGCATCACGCCTGCTAGCGCGGCCCCCCGGCTGCGCCTCTTTGCTGCAAAGGACGACGGCGGGCCGCGCCTCCTGCAAGGCCTCGTGCACCGAGTGCAGGTGAGCTAGACCACGTGGCAGCGTTGAAGAGTATCAGTAGATGACGGGAGGGTCTCTCCCAAGTTCTCAGCTGTGGATGTGTCAGTTGGGTCCATCGACGTTTGTGCTCGGCAAGCAGTGTACCGCTCATGAGCGTTCTGCTCATGCGGCGTCCATTGCCTTTCGCAGTCGGAGGCTCCGAGGGGCGGTGCGCCGGCCGGCAGCGTGAAGGAGCTTGCTGCGCTGGCCAGTGCGCTGCTCTCCGCAGCGGGGCAGGAGGCGCGGGGGGCATCGCCAGGAGGAGCAGGGGCGCAGCCGCAACAACGCAGGTACGGACCGTCCGCGCGCATGGTTGACTCCAGGCACGTCTGGCAGGCACCGCTGCAGAACATGGGGAAAATGTCGAGTGTGCTTCACTAATGGCTGCAAATTGCTGAAGTATGTCGCAATAGAGCCTGGCTCCGCAGAGCACCTCGCTTATGCCTCCATCGGTCTCATTCGAAGGTGTACTCAGCAACGACCAAGTCGTCGATGCTGCTTCTGCTCGGAGCGTCGCTGTCGATGCATTCTTACCCGGCGCGCGTGCAGGGACGCTCCTGCCGGCAGCGCTCCCGCGGCCGGCTCCGAGCAGTCTGGCGGGCCCAGTGGTCGCCGGCGGCCGCCTGTGGGGCTGCAGCGGCACAGCTGGGCGGATGCGCACTACAAGGGCGACTGGATGCGGCGGCCGCTCGAGTCGGGGGAGATCGGGTGGCTGGTGCGCGGACTGGTGCGCGCGTCTGACGCTCTCAACGAGGCACTGCAGCTGGGGCCGCAGGCGGAGGCGAGGCTGGGGCAGGCGACACGAGGGGAGGCACGAGAAGGGAGCACAGAGACGCGAAAAGCGCCGGAAGGAGACGGTGATCGGGGCCGAGGGCCGGGCAGGGCCGGGGAGAGCGAGCGGGGAGATGGGGGCGGGGGGCAAAGTGGCGAGGGAGGGGAAGGACGGACCGCGAGGGAAGGGGGGGCTGACGCTGGACAAGCAGCCCAACGAACGGGCGGTGCTGAACAGACTGGAGATGAACGGCGGGGCTACAGCGACGCGGTGCCGCTGCCCGTGATTGCATACCAAACGTGGCAAGAGGTGCGGGGGTGGGCGGCGAAGGTCGGGCGGAGCGCCGCGGGGCGGGCGCACCGGGCGGCGCTGAAGCGGCAGTGGCGGGTGAACCTGCGGCCGCTGGGGGAGGTGCAGAGCCTGGTGGTGCTCACGCTCCTGCTGGGCCTGGCCTGGCTCCTGCGACAGCTCGTGCGAGCCGTCTCAGGGTGACGAACGGGCGGGGGAGTGCGCGGCCGCCACGCAAGGGGATAATGGAGCAGCGCCGAGGCGCACCTCCTCAATGCTTTCAATGTAGCAGGGGTGAATTACGCAGTCTGGATACTCTCCGGCGTAGGAGTTGTGTCTAGGCTCGTGCCTTTGACACCCCGTCTGCATACGATTCTGTTGAAGCTTTGACGACTAGAAGTGGGTTCGTAGAAGCGGGGTGGACGGGGTTTGGGGCCAATAATCAACATTCAAGCCCGCTGCTTTGGGAGCAGCTCGCTTGTCAAGTTCAAACCGTAACCAGCATCTGGTAACGTATGGTCGTTCGGGCGGCACGGTACATGCATGGCTGGTGTAGCCTTCATAAAGACGCCTTCAGCCTACTTGTTTTGTGAACAATGGACGCAAGCGGCGGCATGTGCCCTCTGACTCTTCTAAAATTGAGCAACGTGCATCAGCAGGCTGAGTCCGAGAGCGTCACAATCACTAGGTGATAGTCTGGCGCTTTTTATGCGACTATCGGTGGCAATCTTCATAACATGTAGGCGTGCCTCAGATGCATACATGGCGGGCGCCATTGTGATGATGAAACAGATCCGATGCGAAGTCTACTCTGATTAGCATGCGCTTAGTAAGTCAACCATGAATTGTAATGCACCTCAGAGCATGCCTCCAACTAAACGATCGTAACCATGTGACCGCGCCTTAACCAATCAACATGCAGCGCTCCTAAAGCAGGCGCTCAGTGGTGAAACGTTCAGCAAAGGGTTCTGATTGATGCTGACCATGGCAAAGTGCCTGTTAAGGGTGCGTGCAAGAGGCTTCTCGACCTATTTATACATGAAATTACTGAGTCAACTGGTTGCAAGCTAGCTCAAGCTTGCAGCACTCACAAGTATGGTATGTACAAATACGCGTGCCCAAGAACTCAGGGCCAACATTGCGAATCCGCTTGTCTACTTGACCAGCGAGGCCAGGATCCTCCTCGGCGGCTTGAACGACCGCCTGCCGTGCATGGTCACTTTGTTGTCGATCAGCAGCACGTCCCCCTGTTGCCACGGGAAGTCCACCGCGACATCGTTCATGATCTTCAAGCATGCGTTTACGGCGGCCCCGTCCAACGGCCGGCCGTCTCCCAGCACAACGGCCTTGCCCTCCTCATTGCGCACGTCCTTCCAGCCGGTGAAGGCCGCCACCACGCTGTTGAACCAGACCTTGCGGCCCGTGCGTGGGTCGACCTGGACGGCGGGGAGCACCCCGGTGACCGTCTTGAGGTCGCCGTTGGGTAGCCACTCCCCAGTCATGCCCATGCTGGCCAGCCTGCACAGCAGCCAGAAATGGAACTTAGTGGAAACGTGATATGAAATGGGCCGTCGTCGCGGGCCTTCTTGTCTTCTCTCCCTCTGGGACTTTCACGACCCAGCCTCTGCCTACCATCAGAGAAAGGCAGTTACAGGACGAAACAGTCCGTTCAATCTTTGCTTGAGTATCAAGAATTGGCTTTAAAGCATCACTCTGCAAGTTCAACGAATCTTTACCACTCAAGAGACGTTTCTCAACAGGAAGTAGAAGCAGCTAAAATCCCAGTTCAGCTTACTGCGCCACTCAATCTAAAGTGGACTCCTCTTCGGCAACAGTCATAGATAATTCCTGCTCCTGTCCGCCAGAAAGTTTGTAGGGGGTCCTCACGCTGCCTCTGTGTCTTGCCGCGTGGTGGTGCCAAACGTGGACCGCCAGCCGCGCCCCTGCGCCGACTCCTTATCATCGTACTCTGGCAGCACGCGGGTGTACTGCACCCCATGCTTCTCCAGGTCCGCCACAAACTGGGGATACGCCTCCGCCATGCGCACATACACCTCGTGGCTCAAACAGATGGGCGTTTGGCCCCCTTCCGCTGGGGGCACGTCGCAGTAGAAGAAGAGATGGGACGGGTAGGACGGCACCTGCAGAGAGGGGACAGGGTGCTCAGGGGAAAAACAGATTGTGGCGATGGTTTCATATCCCTCAGCGACTTCAGGGGCATGAGAGGTATGTTTCTCGAGGTGGTGAAGACACCAAACCGCAAATTCAACAGCAATAGAGTGTTGAGACACCGCGCCATGCCCTTGTGTTCCCAGGGGCTCTAGAAGACTCTGCACGTGAGAAGCACAAGGGTGCAAGGTCTGGTCCTGAGCATAGGCGTGCCATCAGGTGAGACAGAGCCAGCTCCTGAGATAGTCAGTCGTAAAGTGGACTGGAGCATATTGGCGATGATTGCAGGGCCCTCTACCTGGGCCATCTCATGGTGGAAGGGGATCACACTGGCAGCGGGCGCCTCATTGGCCGTGAACACCCTGCCCACAATCAGCGTCCTCGGTGCAGCCCCCCCAATGTAGGGCAGCTCATCATGGCCCAGTGCCTCGACCACCGAGTTGAACACTGCAGGGTCAGGGACATGAAAGCCTCTCAGGAGAACTGCACCATGCTTGAGGGCCAACCGCTCCAGCTCCTGCTTGTTCTCCGCCACCCAACCCGAAAGGTCAGCTTTGGAGTACTTAGTTGTGTGACCGTTGGCAACCGGGGGAGCGGGTCTGAGAACAAGGGGGAAGGGAAGGCCCTCAAATTCCCGCTGCTCCGGGACGGCCACCGGTGCAACACTGGCCGCCGTCATGAGGAGACTCTGAGGAGGCAAGAGCAGCAATCAATACGGGGTGCGCGCAATCAAAGCAATGACGATATCCCGTCTTCTGTTGATTGTACAAAAAGCGCCCCAGTTACAGTAAGCAACTGGAAAGGCCGTCAGGCTACTTTGAAAGAGATGAGCACGCGGCTTGACTGCGCAGCCTGTCCACCTTTTGTGCCACCATCTCTCTAGGTGGGAAGCTGACAGGGAGCGGTGGTACAGCGAACCTGGTTCTCTGGGTGCTTCTGGCCCTGGGCGCATGGGCTGTCCGGGCCACAATTGCTGAAGCTGCATTTTAATAGCATCACATTCGGGATTAAAAGCTGCCAGTTTAATTCTCATATCCAGTGCTAACTGAGCGTGTTAAAAGTCTGTGATAATGGACCCGTACACTGCACAGAAAAGTCGGGCACCCCCGAAAGCAACGGGTTAGCAGTTTCTGGTTTGGACGGGACTTGGCATACGTACGGCCTTCCGAATCGACAATAAGGGGTTGCACTCCTTCCTACACATTGGTTGGATGGAGGATTGCTTTGATTGCGATGATTGCTGAGCCTTTCAAATTCTGGTGGCAAGGAGCAGCAAGGAGGGCGGAGCTGAGCAGAGCAGACGCCAAGATGGGGCGACGCACGGGTCTGCTGGCCGTCTGGTTGTTGGTGGTGGCGTGCTACCTGGCACCTCTTTCCGCTGCAAATGTGGATCCCAACATCGTCAATACGAGAGTCGACAGAAAGGTGGGGGCGCACATTGCAGGGCTCCTTTTCCTTGGATCAGTGTGCATTGTATCTTGTGCATTATTGTTGATGAGAAGAGAGCATAACTTTCTCTTCTGAGACAGTGCTCTGCCCCAAAATTGCCAATGCGTGCAGCTTGCCAATGCATGCAACTCCCTTCGGAGATCTCAACCTGGGCAAATGTAATCCAGCACAATTTCCAAAGGTGGTCATGCTTGTGTCCTTATTGGTTGTAAAGGTTTTTCTGCTGGCGCCACCTGTGAGAAGCAACACATGGATATCACTGACTCGGTGGCGCCATCATGAATTCTTCCACAATGCATCTGATCCCTGTTCATACTGGCTGATGTGGTCTGTTCAACGTTTATCTAGACCTGTTTCGGTGGCTGGATTTTGCTGTGTCATTTGGGCAGTGCTCTGCTCTGAGACTTATCTTATCCATCCATTTCATTTTCCTGCTATGGTGTGTGAGTGCGCCCTTTGATGTGGGGTTTCTCTTGGTCATCCATGTCAGTCTGTTTCTCTTGAACTAAACACCGCCGGTGAATTCTGTTGCAGCGTTTGTCGAAACACTGCGACCTGCAACTGGACATTGTTGATCAGTATTGCTTCTCACTTTCACTCCTACACTGACGAGAGCCTTGTGTCTCTGCTGTGTGCAGCTAGACCTGGCCACACAAACCGTGCGCATCTCCTCCACCATCAAGGTATGCACACCCGCCACGCTTGTTGGGCCAACCTCGTCCACAGCTCATTTTGTGGTGTTCTGATGCAACTTGGATGTGCCTGTTTACACAAGCAACATGCTATATCCGGACCAGCCCGCCTGAGTTCTTTACACATTCTGGCTGACTTTCTTTTGGCAGGCTCTACATCCTGACCAGGAATTGCTTTGCCCTGTTATGATGCTTTCTGCCTTATGCTGCAGTTTGAGAACCGCGGCTCGACACCGGTGCGCTCGTACCTCCTGGCGCTGGCCCCATCCGAGGCCGCGCACCTGGCCTTCATTGGTGCTACTCAGGGCAAGGGTCGTTCTCAGACCACTCTGGCCGTGGAGGCCGTAGCCGGCATCCCTGGGGTCCCTTCCTCGCTTAGCCTCTATGAAGTGGCCCTCACGCGCCCTGTGGGGGGTGGGGAGTCCGCGACGCTTGAGGTGGTAAGCGTGCACACGGGCGCGGAGGTTCCGTACCCCGCAGAGATCACACAGTCGGAGGAGCAGCTGGTGCTGTACACAGGGAGCCTGCACCTGGTGTCGCCGTATGCGACTGCCAGCGAGAGCAGCAAGGTGGGGCTGCCAACCAGCTTGGTCAAGGCGTACACCAAGGCGGAGCCCGTCAAGAAGTCCGGGACCGAGATCACGTACGGGCCCTACAGCGATGTGGCGCCGCTGTCCGTTGAGGAGCTCAGGGTGGGGCACTCTGCTACATCTACTTCAATCTGTTCGTTCCTGCTGCTAGCTCCGATGAGGCGGATCTATGCCTTCCTCTTCATGATAGAATTGGTTGTCAGTACGCATGGAGCTTGAGCTGACTTTAAAATTTGCAGGGCATGATATGAAGCTGAGGCGGAAATGCATTCGCAAACGCCCATTGCTTGCAGTTTTCATCATTATGCCTCAATGCCTTTCCAAGGTGCAAGGTGGACGTCGTGCATTACTTTGGTCTTCTCAGTGCCAGTGCCCCAAGTAATTCTGCCGCTGATGGTACGTATGGGCGGTGTTTGCAGATCCACTTTGAGAACAATTCGCCGTTTGCGGTGGCGGACCTGGAGCGAGAGATCGAAGTCAGCCACTGGGGCAACGTCTATGTCACGGAGAACTACAAGATGCGCAACGCAGGGGCCAAACACAAGGGCACTTTTTCAAGGTCAGTCGTTGGAGCCTTCTGGGCTTGCTTTTGGTAACCCGCCTGCTCAGAACGCTGTTATGAGTATGTGCTGCATTTGGAGCCAACAGTATATGGACGACAGGAGATTCAGAATGTACTAGAAGACAGATTTGGAGAGGGCATTGTGACCGGTTGTGCAAAGTCCCTTACTTGTTATATTTGATGCGCGCAAACTATCGAGCTCCGCGCCGCAACCTGGACTGCCCCGATTCTTGTGTGGGACTGATATTGTCCATGAGCCTGGTCGAAGAACTTGACTGATGCAGGTACTATCTCTTGGGAGCCTTCTTTACCTGCTGTGATGGTTCTCAAGTGCTCCGCACTTTGCTAACACCTTCCTTGAAGAAATACCAGCCGCTCGACTTCCTTCCTCTCTGCTGGTCCATGTTACCCAGCTTGTCTTTGCTCACAGCAACCACTGTTTTGGAGCAGGTTCGAGTACCAGGCGCGCCCCGGCATGAGCGGCCAGAACGCGATCCGGGAGCTGCTGGCGCGGCTGCCCCCGCGCGCCAACAGCATCTACTACCGCGATGAGATTGGCAACATCTCGACCTCCCATGTCCGCTCGACCAGCAGAGTGGTGAGCTCTCCTGGCTTGTGTTTGGGGCCTTGCTTCTCCTCGTCGCGTTTGCAAACCGGAGCCAGCATCATGCTGGAGTGATTTCGGAAAGACTCCGTGCAATATAGCACGAGGTCGAAAGTGGCCCCGTAAAGAAGAATTATAGCTAGGTTGACCTGGTCACAGACCCCCCCAACAACTTTTTCCTTGATCCTGTTGTACTTAGCGGCTCTTATTGAGCCTTTGGGCCGAGCTTCTCCTCGTCGAACCTTCCTCTGAATGCAAATCAGCAACATCCCTCGGCCGCCCTTTCCTTCGATCCCTAGGCGTTATCAGGCGCGTCACTGCCCTTAGCGTGGTGCATTTCTGTGCGCACAGACGGAGGTGCAGCTGGAGCCGCGGTACCCGCTGATGGGCGGCTGGAAGACGGAGTTCACGCTGGGCTACAGCCTGCCCCTCGCCGACTTCTTGTTCCGCGCCAAGGACGGCCGCCGCGTGCTCAACATCACCTTCGGCTGTCCCCTGCGTGACGTCGTCGTTGAGGACCTCACCGTCAAGGTGCGCCGCGGGTGGCCTACCGCGGAGCATCTGTTGTGACAGCCTGAGTTTCACTCCGGGGCTGCTCGCGATCACCAAATCTGCCGCTGGGGTTATAGACAGCTAGCTGCAAAAGCCTTCTCAAGTGCTGCTCTAACATGGGCTGTTCAGTTCAATGCATGGAGAGCTGGCAAAAGGCAACCATTCAGTGTCTCTGCTAGTTCTTTTATGTCAACTAGACTGCTGCCTTTCTCTGATCTGCACTTGTGTCCACCGGCAGGTGATCCTGCCGGAGGGGTCCACCGACCTGACTGCTTCGGTGCCGTTCCCGGTGGCACAAGCGCGCGACGTGCGGCTGACGTACCTGGACACGGTGGGCCGCCCCGTGCTGGTGCTCAAGAAGAGCACCGCCGTCATGGAGCACAACCAGCACTTCCAGGTGCGCGGGACCCGGGCACCTTCATCCTCTTTGCAGATTGATCAACGTGCTGACGCAAGGCTGTGCGGCTGTTCTTTTGGCAGTGTCCCGTCTGGTTTTGTTGACGCTTAACCGGAGTCGTGACAGAATTCGTAGGAGCATGCTTTCAGGCTGGAGCGTTCTAGTTCCTTTCGTTTTTTCGCGCCTCCACGAGACCAAGCTCTCTAAAGCGTGCTTCTGAACCCCACCGCATTGATTAATCTTGTCATCTTGCATTGTGCAATAAGTAGGCCTTTGGCTAAGTACCTCTACCTTTGTGAAACCGAGACCCCTCATACTTGCTGGCATTTGGAAAACGCGAAGCGGACAGCGCACTTGGGAAACGTGGAACAAGGCAACGGCATCCACCAGAGAACCCGTTCAGCCCTCTTCTCGCTGCCTGTGCCCCAGTTTCTCCGCTCTGAGCGGACCTTTCCCGACCTGCTCCAGGTGTCGTACCGTTTCCGCGGCGTGGCGCTGCTGGCGGAGCCTCTGCTTCTGGTGGCCTTCTTTTTGGCGCTGTTCCTGGCCAGCATGGCCTGCCTGCGCGTCGACCTCACCATCGCCAAGTCCTCCGCCTCCTACCAGGCAGACCTCCACCGCCACAAGGTATGCACCCGCCCCCCGCAACTGCTCCATGTTTCAGACTGTTGCTATATTGTATGGGATCTTGTCAAAGTTTCGCCACTGAGAGAGAGGCAGAATCAATAACGTGCACTATTTGGTCTGCTCGTGTATCATTACTCATTGTTTTGTTGCATCGTCGACGAGACCGCTTGAGGCTCATGACCTGCAGTTATCGGATGCAAGAAGTAATTTCAATAGGTGCCTTTCGCACTGATATCCAAACCGCAGATTGAATATTCTTCTAAAGATACGTGTCAAGATTGGACGGGGGACTGTTCAGCAGCCTGGGGAGTGTCCGCCCCAAGACAACCCTTGATCGCTCTGCATTTCGCAATGTGTCAGCTCAGAGACAGTGTGAGCACGTGCAGGTGCGTGATATCTTGGCGCGCTTGGCGGCGCTCCTGACTGCGCGCGCCACCGAGGCGGACAAGATCGAGGCCGCCCTGAAGGAGCTGAGCCGCAGCGGGGACGTGGGCGCAGCACGCGCAGCGCGCAAGGCGGTGGAGGGCAGCCTCAAGGACTCCGCCAAGAGCGTCAAGGCCCTCCAGGACGAACTGGACGGCGCGGGGGACGCCAAGGCCGCCGCCAAGGTGGGGGGGCAGGCACATACTTTGCGATGTTCCACAGAGCACAGCGTTCCAACCCCCTTGATTGCCCTCTGAGTGCCACTGATGCTGGTTATTGTAGAGTTTGCGCGACTGAGAGCAAGGAGAATCAGGATTTGTGAGACGCAAGCTGTATTCTAATCGACACTCTGCCTTGGATGCCGTAGCTTCACCACTTTTTGACAGCGTGATACCATCTTTGCCTGGTCTATAAGGTCAAAACGGTGTTTGACAATCTGCCGTTTCTCGACGATATGTATTAGGGCTGCACACGTACCGAATGGCATTGGAAATCGGCCGTTTCAATTCTGACGTTGCGAGCCTTGATGCGTTCTTGCCGCAGGCCGCCGCAGTGGTGGCCAAGGAGCAGCAGAAGGTGACGGCGCAGGCGCAGCTGGCGGAGACGGCGGTGGCGGTGTGGGAGAAGAAGCTGGCCGCCAAGGACGGCGAGCAGCGCATGGCCGCGCTACATGCGCGGATAAAGGCACTCAAGCAGGAAGTGCGCGACGCCATCCAGGCGCTCGAGGACTAGCTCGCAACATGGGAGCGGCTAGCCTAGACGAATGGAGAGGCTGCGTGGACGCAGTCCAAGAATGAGTATTGAGTTGGTTGAGAGATGAGTTTTGGTAGCGTCCCAAAGTTGTGTGGTCGTATGGAGTCGAAGACCAGGATCGGAATTGATACAAACTTTGCTTCAAAGACGCGAAGATACTTGGGGACCAACTTTTGCATCGCTGTTTACATGAAAGCATGCCAACTGTGCCACGAGGTTTCTTACTCGCAACAGCGATCTCGAATGTTATGCACGATGCCCTCAGCAAGTTTGCGTTCAATCAACAGATTTGCATGGTCCGTATAGTTGTTCTCCGTAGCCACTCGACTTCTGACTGGGAACCTAAGCCCTGATGGAAACTTACGGCGGCGCTGGGAGGGCCGGATACTATTCGTCTATGACTGGTCAAATGTTTCGAAGATCTGCATTCGTTCTCTAATCAGCCACCCTTTAGCTTGAGAACAACCTATCTGCTGTAGTCACGGTACGTAGTGACATACATCCTGCGCTAGCTATGCTACCTGGGACCTTGGTGCTAGAGCTAGTGCCTCATGCGGCAACTTAAAGGAGAGCGGCGCGCGGCATGAATATTGTATTCAAGCACTGAATGCTGGCAGATGCGAGCGCCGTCAACGTTAGTACCAGCTTCGTTTAGTAGACATTCTTTCCGGGATCGAAACTCGGTGCAAATCTACACTTTCAAAACGTAAGCGTGGAGCAGATAGTTGTATACCGGGTGAGGACCTAGAGAGCAAGCCGTTCTTCTCGGGCCAAAAGGAACGGAAGTCCTGCACCATCTCGTACCCGGGGTTTATCGATATTAACGGCACAGAAAGAAGTGCTCTCAGATGGAGACGGAACCCCTCTGCAAGGCCGTGAGATTAAGGCCTTGCTGGAGATGATGCTTGTCAGTCTGGACCTTTCGTAAGTGTCCAGGCAGGTTAGGAATGTCAAGAAACGGGATTGCCTGGGAAGCTGGGCTCGTGGGAGCAGCTAGAGGGATTAGAGTGAGCATCCAAAGAATTACTTGAATCAAATGGTTCGTATTTTCTGACAAGGTGTCAGCTTTCTTCATCCGACAGCTGTTGAACGGTTTGGCTCGGCACTACTGTATTATTAGCAGAGCAACTTGATCTTGGAACCCTTTTCATCCTAAGTAAAAAATGGCCTGCAAGCAAGCAGGTGTCATTCAACAGCTTTTGATCTCGAGCAGGTCGGACCATCATCTTGAGCTTGTCGAGCATCGGAATTGAGGGTCAATGAGGCAATCTCGATGATTACGTGGAACAAAACAAGTCGACTCCACCGGTCCTTCAAGCTTTTCCCGTACGTATTCTACTACACACCTGGCCTGTCGGGATCTCTGCGCATACGAGAGTCAAACGCCTTCCTCTTTATCGCAGAGCTGAAATTAAGCGTCTCGTTGCGACTCGTTGGCCATTCATGCGGACCCTTCACAGGTGGACGCGTATTGAATGCCTCTTGGATTGACGCGTGGGATGACCAGACGGGAATACTCGACGTGGGAGTATCGACATCGAGGCTTGCAGGTGACGTCACAAGAGCCTTTACAGGGGTGTTTGCATTGAAAGCATACATGTCAGGCGGCTGCGCGCACGGGGATGACCTTCCGAGCAGCGTCCGGTACGAAGTGCATACTTGCCCCGGGCTCCGAGTCTGCCGTGATGATTCGAACCAGGCCGTGATAGAGCCGTCATGGATCAAGCCAATCCTGCCCCTTGCCCGCTTCAACATTCATTGCCTTGGCAGGTTCACAATAGGTGCCTGGATCGAATTGTGTTTAGAAAAAGCAACGACCCTTTTATGCAGCGAGAGACCCTGATGACAGATGTCAAAGTTCCAGGCAGCAGTAACAGTACAGGCATAAGACGTTGCTTGGCGGGGCGGCGAATCTTCTTCGAATTGATGCACGTACTTGAAATGCTTTGCAAGTTCTAACCTTGTGATTAGTCTTGGGATTTTCAGCTGCAGGGAGTACTCTGCCGCCACACGCTGTGTGCGTATGAAACTCTGTTGGCATGGCTAAAGCAGCGCTTCTGACCTGGATTGACACATTCGTGGACCTTTCTCGTGAGCATTATAGAGGTGGTGACACGGTGACAGCTGTTGGTTAAGTGCGACGACAGCCGTCAGGCGGCTCGGCACGAGATTCGGAGCGACGCTATTGAACTGGTGGTGCTTAACAAATTTCACCACAGTTGTCGCTCGAGCAAACAGCTGTCGTCCTAAACCGCTCCTTCAGCAGGTGAGCACATTTCAGCATGAGCTTGCATCCATAATACCGATCCTTATTGTCACGAAGCCACGTCCGGCCGACTGATGCCACTTCCTGATTAGGCACTTCCTCAAAGATCCTTGCTAGCACTAGCACAATTTGATGAGGTTGGAACCTCCTTGCAGGCCCCGGCCCGCATGTAAGCTCATGCAAACGCCTTTTTCCGGCGAGTTATTCACTGCCTCAACAAACCCTTGCATTCATTACGGCTCTGAAGGAGCCTGTCCGAGCCGCCAGATGTGACACGTGGCACAATGCCGTCACGGAACGCTCGCGATCGACTCTTGGCTGCGAGCAAGACCGAGAACATTCTGTATGTTCACGGATGCATCTTGGAATCCCGGCACAGCTCGCACGCTCATCAGCTGCGGTCAGAAGGTCCTATTGGTCAGGTTGCACTCAAGGGGATCCCTCTCTGAGCAGCGCCCATCATAAGCAGGGGGTATCTCCCAGGGCTTTGCTGCGATTATGTGGCGTCCAGTCCGAGCAGGCCACTGTACACATCCGTGCACGATCAGGCTGACATATGCTGATTGTCTAGCGCCTTCGATCAGATTCAAGCAGAAACCCGTTTCTTTGAACAAAAACCTAGCACCTACCTGCACTGCGTCACGTCAACCATTACTTGAAGTGCTCTTGATTGACCAGTGTTCCAGTCTCGACACGAACTTGCAGGACAGATCTAGCCGTCACAAAACGAAGCAATTCATCGGATGCTGCTTCAAGAACGTGATGTACAAGCATAAGCAATGGTCACCTGTGCAGGTGGTCGCGATGTTTTACGAGTTGAGGCAAAGCTCTGCTCTGATTGGGTCGGCAGCAAAAGGTGCAACATTTATTGGAGCATGCGCTAATGATGTCGATTGATCACCCGTAGCGCGTGTTCCCCAGGACCGCAGCCTGGACCGGGACCGCAGCCCGGTAAGGAAAGTAGAAAACAGGGACCGCAGCCCTGCAGGGACCGCAGCCCTGCAGGGACCGCAGCCCTGAACGCCTAGCTGGCGTTGCAAAGAGGGGCAGGATTCGTGTCCATAAAGACGTCTTACGTGAAAACCAGACTTTGTGGGCCGTGTGAAGTTGGCCCGAGTCCGGCCGTCCGATGATGCCACGTGTCAGATCCAACGGCTCGAAGAAGGGCACTCAGACTCGCGACGGTTCGCCACGACGCGAAGCCGCGAGGATAGCGAAGGCTTCAAACAGAAGGACAGCGAAGAGCCCGGGAAGGCAGGCGCTTTAGAGACGAAGCGGAATTCAAGACTGCACGGAAGACGGAACATAATATATCCGTCCTAATGCTAAGACTTCAAGTTTGGTCCACCCTTATAATCTATTGGGTCGCCTTGCAAAGCCCTATGATTTGTTGGACCATCTTCGACCCCGCAATCATTCTCCCTGGCCGAATTAACCATGAACTTCCACTCGTCTTAATCCCTTCCAAAATCTATGAATATCCGTGCTCCAAGCGATTCCTTCAGCCTCTTGTGCTGAAACAGAACGGTGTGCTTGTTCTCAAGCTTTCGCGGAAACTCTTGCCTGGCACATGTCATGCGTCTCTGGCGGCTAACAACCGACTTTAGCGATGTGAATGTTGTCTCATAACATGAGCGACAGTACAGCAGATTGTCTGTCCGACAAGCGACCGGCTAGAGTGTAAGCCCTTTTCCGCAGGTCAAAGGGAGCAGAACAGCTCCTGTCCGCCAGACATTACCACACGCCGACTACGCCGGCTCGAGCAAGGTGCGCGTCAGATGGAGACGACTTTGCTGTGAAGCCTCGAGTGAAAGGCTGTACACCTTGAGTTTTTGACTTCGTGTATTGGAAGACATACAATTTCAGGCACAAAAAGGTTGCCAGATAAGGTTGACGGCGTTCAAGAAGCTGGACTAGCTCCTAGTAGGTGATTGGGATCAAACTACCCAAGCGTCCAACGTATCGTACGCAGGTCGTATGCAGAAGTATGCATACACATTGATGCAAGGTATATGCAGTCGGCCATGGAGATGAAGTTGGAATCCTCAGCTTGGGGCACGACAGTAATTTGCAACTTGATCGCGGGCCAACATCACATGGCATGTTATGATCGAATAGACGAAGCCCATAAATCTCAAGAACGGTCTTACACAAGTCATGCAAGTGGATGGTCGACATGAACCGCAAATTGGGCGTGATTGCGACGTGTATACATACGTACAACGCTCTCAGGGCGCCCACCGTCACGCAATGATTACTGGGAAAAGCTATATGATTCCTTGACAGCCCATGCCATTGATCGACGCAAAATATCACACAGGCGGATACAGGGGCTTGACAGACTGTGCCCAATCGAGAGCCACTTGCATAAGGAGTCCTTGCATGCAGAACGATTTGATGAAGTTAGACATTGTCCAATCGTCTATCATAGGACCCTTGCATGCGTGCCAGGCTATTGCGTCTGCGGCCCATCCAGCGCAGCCAGCTGCTGCGCGAGGTTGACTTTGCCTTTGGCCATCCCGATGTGTATCCGCGCGTATCGCGCGATGTCCTTGTTGCCGCACGCCTTGGCGGCCGCCAGCGCGGCCTCGAACTCGCCCGCGGCCGTCGCGTGGCGCCCCACCCGGGTAGCCACCACGCCCAACAGAAAGTGCGCCTCCGCCACGCCGGCGCCGTCCTCCAGGGAGGTGCACACCGCCAGGTATCTGGGCGGAACGGACGGAATTTCTGAGAACGGCGATTGGGGTTGGCTTTGAGAGCTTTACGAAACGAGTGCCCAACCAGCGGGACATCGGAAGAACTGCTCTTGAAAGATTTTGCCCACGATTTTTCCTCCATGATGAGAGGGAAATCCTCAAAGTGTCTCTTGTGGTGATGGCGCACACATCGGATAGCGCATCAGGTTGCATTCGGACTCAATGACCGGCTGAAAAGGTTCGCAGTCGGTAGGACGCAAAGAGCGAGAGGCGTCGCCCAATCTGCGGCGCCCATTAGGCCAAAGTCATCACCTGCTCTGCTGTGAGTGACGGCAAAACTTGTGGGTCAAGCATGATAGGGCCATGGCACATCGTTTGCTCTTGTATGCTCCCCTTGCAACCGCGTGTAAATTTCAACGGCTACATCTAGACAAGACTGCTCGTGCTCTTGTCGGCTCCATCGATCTCGGCAGCAGGCCATCATCTTGCTTGACCGTTACGCCAACAACGACAAAATGGGTGAGATCGGCTTTATTTGTGGAACAGCCAGGACTTCGCGACAAATTCTTCCGCGCTGTGCGCGCGCTGACCTTCGTATGCAGTCCTCCGCGCTCGCGAGCACCTTGTCCTGTTGCAGCAGCAGCCGCCCCAGGTTGCCCACCGCCGCGCGCTCGCACACCGCGTCGCCGCCCTGGATCGCGGCCGCCAGCGCGCGCTGCCAACCAATGAAGCATAGCGGGATCGGGACACAGAATCCGCGTTCCAACGGGTACAACCTTACGACGACGCAAGCATAGTTGTATTGATGGAACCATATTCTTTGAGTGCTCGTCCACATAGAATCTTATTCGCTACGATTACTGTGCGTACTTACTTTGGTGCTGCAAATCTCAAAAGAAACTGTTGGCTTGGCAGTCTCAGCCGTGCGGTCAAAGCGCCTTGCAAACGCTCCCATGTCCCCTCCCCTCCCCTCACCTTGTGCATCTCGATCGCCTCATTCCCCCGCCCCAGCCGCGTCAGCAGCAGCCCCGCATTGCCGGCCGCCATGGCGCGGCCGCGGCCGTCGGCCGCCAGGTCCCCGTGCTGCGCGTGGTGCCCCAACGCCGCCTCGTACTCCGCCGCAGCGTCGCCCGGGAGACTGCACCCGGCCTCCTCGCCCAGGCTCTCAGCCAGGCCGGCTGTCTGCGGAACGCACGGGCGAGTGGCACGTCAGGAGCCGTCCGTGGAATGTATCCCGACGAGGACCTCAGAAGCACTGGCTATCCATGTCGGGTACATCCGTGAGCCGTCTGCTTACATCGTAGTCATGAGCCCTCGTCGCAGCTGCAAGCATGCGTTGTGGTCGAGACGGAGGGGTCTGGAAGCTAGGCTAGGTATGTGGAAAACAGGAGGTGTGTTCGACACAGAAGGAAAACTTTGAAAGCATGAAATTTCATAGAAGAAGCCGAAGGGGTTGCCTGCCTACCCTCGGGCTGCCCGGCTTGGCGGCCACGTAGTCGCCCGCGGCCGCGTGCGCAATTCCGAGGCAGTTGTGCGCGAGCACCTGCAGGTCCTGGTCCTGCGACTGCACGCACGCGCGCAGGAAGCGCTCGTAGACGTCCACGGCGCGGCCGTACTCCTGCGAGGGCACTTGGGGTGAGATGGGAATCAAGCGCTGGATCAGAGCAGGTCAGGAGTTATGACAGCCTTGTACAAGTTGCGAGTAATATTGGGAATAAGTGTAGGTCAAGAGGTGCTCAGCATACCACAAGAGGTTTCTCTTACTTTTCATGTCCTACTGGCCGGTCCCTTATTTAGTACTGGCTCCCTTGGTTTACGCTGACATAGAGAGATTGTCCCTTTGATTGGGTGCGGAGAGGTAGGAGCAGCACCTCGCAAGGAGACGCAACCGCTTCCAGATAGGATCGGACTTGGTTGGCCATCTATGTCACTCCGATAGGCTTGTGGCTACCTTCGAGTGTGCATGATGAGAAGCACCTTTTCCCACATTTGGCGTCTCTTCACGTCTCACCTTAGGCCGAAACGTCACCGGCACTCATCAGCATAAGCGCTTACCTACTCGAGGGCGGTATTGTCATTTGATTTTGTTTGAAGATCATTGAGGTGTCGGCAGATCTTGACCAGACCGGTGAATGAGGGGGACTCTGGCTGCCTCATGATGCCAGGATTTGGACAGCTACTTATCGAAGGCGCTTTGCAGCTAGAATGCTAGGGTGCCTTGCCTCTTGCTTTCTCCACCCAAGATGCCTCTGCAGAGCCCCCTCAGGCGTTTCCTTGCTTGACCGCAGATGACGGAACATTTTAGAACGCGCTTGTGCAAAAGAACGCTTCGAGACACCGCCCACGTGGTAATTGCGTACCTGGGCGTTCTCGAGCAGGACCGCCATGCTGAGCAGGGCACGTGCTTCTTCCCGCGTGCGGCCCGGGTTGTTGAGGCGGTGCGACGTCTCCGCCAGGACCGAGAAGTCGGCCAGCTGGGGACCACCGCCTGGGGCAAGGCACCGGGCAGAGGGTCGGGCAGCGGTTCGGGCAACGATTAGGGGCGCAAGCGAAGCAGGATTACGATAAAGAATCGATTCTCAGAGCTGGTCGCTGAGTTGTCTTGACTAAACAATTGCGCATCACGTTCAGAAGAGACTTAGATAAGACGCCAAGAAGTGTATTTCTTCTTAAGAACGTAGTAAGGTCGAAGCGATGGGGATTCGTTCGACGCGATCACAGAGCTTTGAAGTACATGTTAGAAGCTCCACCAAAGCCTTCAACGTCTCTCAACAAGCAGCGAACCGTCAAAAGTGGGACGTCCAGACGTTGAGCCCACAGAAAGCTGAATCTAGCAAAGGGCCCGTAATCAGCGACTTGAGGGGTCCCCCAAAGAGGCAGGGGCAATGCGGCTCGTTACAGCTTGTGCGCTCACCTTTGCCCGAATCTGCACTTCTCTTCCTTTCTGGAATACGCCAGTCGGGTGGCGGCTCCAATCGTTGTTGTTGTGAAATTGGCGGATACACCCGAGGAGTATCGTCAACCTCGACTTCTGGAGGGTTCAAAGAGCCCGGCTTGGCGCGGGGGGATCGCGGGGACGATAGCAGCTGGACGGAGCGCACCTGCCCCGAGCGGGCTGCGGCCTCCTCGTGCCTGCAGAAACAGAGATGCACGTTATTGAGAAACACAATGAAAGCAACATGCGGCTCTGGAAACATTTCCAGGGTCGCTCCTCGTGGTGGGGGTTCTTGCAGCGACAGTCCTGAAAGCAAGCTTTTCTTTTGTAGGAGCAAGGCGGATCGGTCTTTGCAAGTCCAGTCCACGTCTTCCTGACGGATCCTTGGTCCAATGGTGCAACAGGCAACGGCTTTCTTTCGTGCTAGACACCTGCCCTGATCCCTAGTTCTGACGTAGGTTTACGCCTTCGGGAAATAGACAGCTGACACAAGTGATCAGATAGCCCCAATTGGTGTCTCGTCCCTTTTTCAAGGCATACACTATCATCTCGTGACCGGCCGCCCAGACACCTGGCGGGGCTGGCCCTCACCAGAGCCGGACGCTGCTGGCCTTTTCCCTGAGCGTCTTGGCGGGGGAGTGCGGGCTGCCAGCCCAAGGACTGCCCTCCAGGCCTGCAAAGGATTTTACGGGGAATGTCAGACACACAGCCACAGTCGAGTATCAGTGGAGTGCTTGCTGACCAAGTGATGCCGAGGTTGTAGACAGGCATGGAGAGCTGGCAGAGCAGCTTGTTGTGTAGCCCAACATTGTCTTCTTTCTGGAGCTTGACGTGACAGCGTGACGCTTCCAAAGAAGTAGCCACTCCTGTGAGCCCTTTCTGCATAACTAGTTCTGGCAACCCCGTTCCCTTTTTGAAACCCGTACTCTGCCTTTTTACTTCCCAGTAGCGCCCAGTCAACGTCCTCACCTTTGGGCGTCTCTCCTCCCCCCATCCTGCCCTCCACTCCCATTCCTTCCTCCAGCTCTAAGGCCTTAACCCGCGCTGCGCCCCGCCCTGTCGGAGTCCCCACCGGTCGGCCCTCCGCCTCCAAAATTGCTCGATACTGTGGCAGACCCGCCAATGTGGGGCTGCCCGCCCCTTGCTCCCAGCCCCTCTCGTCCTGCTCCGCCAGCGCCCGCAGGTGCAGCTTCAGGTCTGGTAAGGACCGTGTCAGCATTTCTTTCTGTCCCGCCCTTCCCGCCCACTGCTCCCCGCCTTCTAACGGGGCCACGCCAGCTGGCAAGGTCCCGTGCGCAGGAGGCGCCAGCTTCTTCTGCTGCCAAATGGGGCTCAGCACCTTTGGCGGCGGGGGCGGGTACTCGGAGCCATTGCTGGTGCCGGGATGGGGTGATGGCGGCCCTCGTTTCGGCCCCCCTCCTGAGGTGAGGCCTGAGCGGGGGCTTGCAGTTGCCCGCGGGGTGCTCTGACTGGCAAGCTCATCACTCAGGTTGGCCAAGTTGCTGCGGGGAGAGACGCTTGACGGCGTGGCAGTGCCCCGGCTAGACAGCTGTCCATCCGCATTGCCGAGGTCCGCCATGGGGAGGGTCGTGATGTCACCTGCTCTGGTGCATGATCATTTTCAAGATACTTGCCACATTTGCACTGCCCACTCCGCCTTGAAGGCAAAATGCAGAGTTCAGGGACAATGAACGAGGATCAGAAATGATTGTGGAAGTTTGCTGTTATGACATTGTTGATGTGGCTCTTGCAAGCTGTCCAGGGGCAGCTACTCTAGCTCCGTAAGTCCTTTGATATAAGCTCACGCCCAGGACAAGCTGCTTGATCAAGCTCAGACATTTCACTTTAACCACAGGACTTTTGGCCCCTGAATCTCGTAAAAAGACTGCTTCTTAACCATTTGCTAAGTCACTTTGCCGCATCATTTGGACCGTGGAACGAAAGTGGCCTCCAATATTTTGGGGTGATGTCAACAGGCGGCTCGCTTTCAGTTCACTGTATATCGAGACGACGGATGTAGGATAGAACGAGACTGCTCAGACAAGAAGGAACTTCGCTCATGCTGCAGCCCTGAAATCGATGCAGGTCGCGAGCCGCCCGGGCGCAACCTTAGAGCTGAAGATTCAACTAGCTTGAACAGATACCCGGCTACAATACGGAAGTGTGCTAATACTCTTGGCATTGCTGTGCGAATCAACTTCCTGCGTTGTCGAGTCCAATTAAATTTAGGATGTTCAGTTGACCAAGCTTGGTCCAACGATATTTCTTGCCTGTTCTCCCGTTGACGACCGGCTTTCGAGGCCGGGCGCGGCGCGGCCGCCCGGCCTCGAACTTGTGCGCGGCGGCACAGACAACTTGAGGGATTGCCTCAGACCTTGCCAGACAAGGTGCATTATGAATTTACGGTATGCTCGTTGAAGGCTCGTTGTCTCATGCAAAAACGTTTCCAAAGGAGCTTTGAACCCAGGCAGCAGCCACCATCCACAGAAGTCTGCTTCTCGTCAGCCCTTCTGCTTGAGTTTTCCCAACCTCTGGTGGTTTCACCTTGATCCAGGCCTTCTGAGAGCTCTTGCAAAGTTGCTGGTTTGCGCGCTGTAGTGATGGCCTAGCAACCCGCCTGTGTGAGAGCTGGGGGCCGGGCTACCCAGGTCGAAGATGATTGCATCTTCTGGGAAGACTGCCGGGAGCCCACATGATGCCGTTCAAACCTCGGTCTCCTTCGAGCAAGAAGCTGCCGGCCGCCCCGTTGTGCCCGCACGCCCCCGCAGCTGGCTGCGCTTGTATAGCATTGCGCGACGGGGCCTCACCGGGTTCCAACGGGGCGGGGCCGGATTGGCGGGGGCAGATGGACTTGGGGCGCCGCAGGAAGTGGGGGATCAGCAGAGGGCGAGCCTGGCGCGCAGCAATGTGGACGTTGTGAAGCAGTGGGCGGCGCACCCCAGCTTGCAGCCATTCATTGCGTCGCTCCATGCTGTCCAGAGTGGGGAGCCGCATCAGCAAGTGTTTGTGTGGCTAGTGTGCCGCTGCTTGGCGCCTCTAGTGCTGCTGTTGCTGCTGTGGACCACGCTCACACACATGGTGAGGGGGAACTACGACTGGGCGGTTTGGATCATGACCTGGGCTGGGGGGGTCTCTGGAGTGTCTGGGCATCGGGGCTGGCCTTTCTGATCGAGCGTGTCTCTTCCACGTGTCCCCAGTATTTCAGCTTTGATGCAGATGTTGCTTATACAAAGGGCTTTTGCCACCAGCATCAAGGGGCCTGTTGTTGTCAACAGCTTAGACCCCGTGTATGCTGGCAGATACTAGATTTGTATTCACCGCCATTGCTAGTGAATCTAAAATACAGAGCTCTTTCCTTCTCCCAGGACCGGGGCTCATCAATGTCTATTGGAGAGGGGGCTGCCTTGCTGGTCCTGTTTGTGCTCTCCCGGGGCTTTGGGGCGCTGGCAGAGAAGGCCGGCCTGCACCCCCTGTGCGGCATGTTGCTGGTGAGGCCATACACCCGCCCCCAAGCACCACCGCTTTCAGATGTTCCGAATTGTGTTTGACAAGTTTCTCCTTTTTCATGGCTATGGGGTTGGTCTTACTTGCAAGTCTGCAGTTTGTTGCTTCTCGCCAAATGTCTCGATTGTAACAAGGCGGCTCTTTCTGTGCAGGCTGGCTTTACTTGCCGCTACCTGCCGGGCCTGGCGGGGGGCAGCATCATCGAGTCGGAGGTTGCGGCGGAGGTCCGCATGGTGGGCCTGGCGCTCATACTCGTGTGAGTGCACTCGGGCCTGTCCGTCAAGAAAGGCTGGGTCTTTCACCAGAGACAGTTTGTCCTTCAGACAATGACGACGCACAGCCCTGATGTCACAAATTTATTGCCTTTCCACTATGCTTTTCAGCACCTGCTGAACCCCCCCCGTTCCTGTGTGCAGCCGTGCTGGCCTCAGCTTGCGGCTGGCGCTCATCACCAACCTGATCGGCCTCTGCTCCGCAACGTCCCTGGGGCCCACGCTGTGAGTTTCTCCCAACCCTTCGCCTTGTGCAAGTGTTGGGCTCTTACCTAGTGATTATCGCCGGAGGCAGAGCTGGTCTCGCAATCCTTCGAAAGTACTTGTCAATTTTCCCTTTCCTGAGGCGCTTCCTTTCTGCCTGACCCCCCTCTTCCCGGTTGCAGTGTGGAGTGTGTAACTGTGGCTGCCCTCTCTCGCGCTGCGTACGGCTGGCCCTGGACGTGGGGCCTCATGACGGGGTGAGCCTCATTCCTGAGTATGGTAATGTTTCCCCGCTGTCGAAAAAGCACGTAAATCTGTGGTTCGACAATTTTCTGCCTTCACTGCAAGATGCGGAGTCCTTTCTGATCTTGGTTGACAACTACTGGGCACCTGCTCCATGATGCGCTTACTCAACACTTTCTTCCTTTCAAGCCCTGGATCTTCGCTCAGTCGGACTTTTTCGCCCTCGCCCTCTGTCCGTCTCTGTTTTCGAGCGGCGTTCATCCTAGATAGCTCCTCTTAACGAAGATTCACATACCCCAATCTGGCCAACTGGGTCTGGCATGAGACCATTCCGACAGATTCCCAATAGTTGGTCGCCAACTAATCTCTGGCGACCTGACAAAACCTTCTTTCAGCGAGGTCAGCCGTCATTGCACCGTGCTTCGTATTCCGGGTCCACGTCAATCGAAAAATGGGTGCGTTACTGGAGACTCGGTTACGCCATTGTGGTACTGATTAACCGTCTATTATCCTCGTAGTGACTCGATATGGGTACTGCAGTCATCCAGGGTTATGCTGACACGCTGGCGTGATCGACCCCCTTCTGGTCGATGCGGACCGATAGGCTCTTTTCAATCAATGATTGTCACCCAACCGTTGGGCTTGGTTGGCGGCACCCTGAATCTGTGTACTGTGAAACGGAGGACTAATACCGTTTGTTCCGTGCCCCGCGCAGGGCGATGGTTTCGGGCGTGGCTGCCGCGGTGGTGGTCCCCGTGCTGCTGACGCTGCAGCAGGACGGCTACGGCACCGCCAAGGGCCTGCCCAGCCTCGTGCTCGCAGTCGCCGCGCTCGACGACGTTCTCGCGGTCGTGGCCTACGCCATCTCCGCAGCTATTGTGTTCGGTGAGGTTCTTATTTCTTGTTGTTAAGAGGACTGAGGTTGTTTGGTGAGGTCACTACTTCTTGTCTGGTGTGATCACGGATTCGTTCTTTACCAGTCAGGAGGACGAGTCGAGGAACTGGTGACCGTCGGCCTCTTTGGAGCCGTCAGTTTCAATCTGCGCCAGCCCCGCACGCCTGGGCGGCTCTACTTGGACTGCAGCGACATTTAGCCCGCAGAATCATTCGTGACTTGCTTCTCAACCTGTTACATTTGCAGTTCAGAAACGGGGCACGGGATGCCCCGGCTTGGCTCGTTGCAAATTCTTGACAAGATGATTGGATTGGGTGACTTTGAGGCTTGAGCCAGCGGTTCTCGTCAAAACATACCGATGATGAAATTGACCCCATCTTTATCTTCGTCTCTCGAAGAACCCATCTCCTTTCTTCTTCCTTCCACAAACTCCCCCAGCCCGTGTGCGTTCATACTTACGTCTGTCTCTTTGCTGCAGAGCACAGCCCTGTGCTGGTGACACTGGTGCGCGGCCCCGCGGAGCTGGTCCTAGGGGCCGTCGCCGGCCTGGCAGTGGGCCTCCTGGGCTGCCTGTTTTTGCCCCCCCTCGCGCACAAAGACGACGCGGCGGGCGCGGCCAGCGGCAGGCTGCCGCCGCAGGAGGGCGCGCTCATGGTGAGGGGCACGACGGCCGGGGAGAGGGGCGGTGCGTATGATTGGAAGTTGCTTCGAAATCTACGTACCTGCCGTTCAGACTGCTTTTCAACCCAGCGCGTTTTGTAAGAAGTAGAAGACGTGGTCTGCCGCTCCTTGACGAAGCGGTTTGCTTGAGAGGTGGTTCCACCCTAGTCGAGAGCCGTTTTTGGTGCAATCGCTTGTGCCCGACGTTGGTGCACTGTCCAGGAGCCGTAAGTAGACGCGAAAGAGAGCAGCTCCGTCGTCAGTCTTTAGCGTCACCTCACATGCGGTGGAGAGAAGAAAGAACAAGACAAATCCCCTGCAATGGTCCTCTACTCCGCAATCGGGGGCCTCTATTCTGCATGCTGCACATGCTTAAGTTGGCGGCTTAAGGGGCAAAGCATGTAGATTGAGTCTCGTTCTCTTTCCACTCGCCAAGCCACCTGACAATGCAACAACGGAAGGTCGGCTTCCGCTCCTGATGTGTTGATGAATGGTCACCTGCGCGTGGTACAGGCGGGGCTGCGGTCGTGCTACGTGGGCGGCATGGCTCTGCTGGCCATCTATGGGTGCCACGGCCACGGCGCGGCAGGCGCTGGCGCGGTGAGGGAACGGTTCATCCCGCTCAGTCTTCTCAAGCATGAGTTGGCTTTGGTCCACACGGTTTCCAAACAGAGCTCACTTGGTCATGATCCTGAGGAAGGCGTCTCCTGTACCTGTTGCCATGATATTGTGCAAGTGAACAGACTGCGCAACAGTTAGCCAGTGAGTCGATTCGCCCGATCCGTCTTTTCGCCTACTGATAAGGTCTACACAAACCCCCAAAACGTATTTCCGGCGCCCCGCACAGATGTCGTGTTTGGTGCTGGGCATGACGGCGCAGCTGGGGTGGGGAAGCGCGCGCGTGGGCGCGCCCAAGGCGCAGCTGGGCGTGGTGTGGAACCAGGGCGTGGCGCCGCTGCTGTTCGGCATCATCGGCATCAAGCTCGACCCCGCCGCCTTCACGCCCGCGTTCCTCGCGCGCGCGGGCGGGCTGCTGGGGGCCGCCATGCTCGCGCGGGGGGCGGCCACGCTCGCGTGTGCGATGGCGGGGTGAGGACGAGGCTACGCAACAGCAATCCTTGTTTGTGCTTTTGTTGTTCTGAGAGAGTTGTGGATCACAGGCAAGACCCGGCGTCGGAGAGACGGGTATTGGCAAAAAGGAACAACCAGAGAAGGGAGGGGGAAAGCATGCCTCTAACCTCGGGTGGTCCCGCGACTTGAAAGCAAGGGCTCAGTGCTGACGGTGCTTCTGAGTCAGCTGCTACGTGAATGTGTGCAGGAAGGACCTGACAGCGAATGAGCGCGCGTTCCTGGCCCTCGCATGGGTGCCCAAGGCGACAGTCCAGGTGAGCCCGCCATCGGCCGGGGGACCGCGAGAAACCTTCGAAGCACTGCGCACCCCTGACTCGGTCAAAGCTTGCAATTTATACACTTTGGATAAGTGATCAAGGACAGGTTGGTCTAGAAGAAGATATACCCAAGCCGCCAAACGCTCCCCGTGCAGGCTGCACTGGCGCCAGAGCCCTTGGCTCGGTCTCGCGCCCGGCTGCTTGCGGGGATCGGGTCCGAGGAGGAAGTGCGATGGGCGGAAACCGTGAGTTTGCGTCCGCAGCAACGCTCCCTTCAATCGTCCATGAGGCGGCGCATTCTGGACTAAGGATGGCGGCTCTTCGGGAACTCTCGCCCTTTGCACGAATCGCTTGTCAAAATTGGACGCCGGTTGTCTGCATGTGTGCGCTACGACCTTGGATGCTGACGCCCGCATGGTGCAGGTGTTCGCCCTGGGCATGCTGTCCGTGTTTTTGTCTGCGCCGTTGGGAGCGATCCTTCTCAAGTACTTTGGCCCCAAGCTTCTGAAGAAGGGGAGGCGATCCTCGACGGGAGAGGATGCAGGGGATCACTGATATCAGGAGCAAGAAACTTATCACGACCGATCTTAGACTTCCATTCAACCCCTCCACAGAACCAAGCTCAGCATGGGTTCAATTTCCATTGCACTTGATTCCAATTGGTCTTGAAAAGCAGCTCATGGACTCAGGGCCCGCCTGTTGTGTTTCGACGCTTTATTTTCTATGAAACGTCAATTCTAGCCGGCCCTCGCAGAAGAAAAGCTCTTATGTCTGCCATGGGCCTAGTCATCTTATGGAGAATGGCCACATGCTATTATCATGATGAGCGGTCAGTTCGCCGATCCTGGTTTATCATGGGCAGATCTCTGTGATTGGTGCAGCGGGCCTGACGTGATCACGTCGGAAAATCGCCGGACACCAAATATATGCATGCAGCTACAAAGTGTGCATTGCGGAAATTGATATGCATGCGCCGCCACTTCGGTGTCAGTAGGCAGATGGAAGCTATCGGTGCATATGCATGGAGCCAATGCTCGCGACCATTTACTGAGCCCACACGCAACTGCCTGGTACTGTATGTGTCCCTTACATCGCTTGTGAGCTCTTGCTGCAGTGCGCTAGCTAGACAGTGTTGCACGCAGCAACAGTATCCATGGATCAATTGACAGGACTTGGTTACTCTGTGAAGTACCAACTTACCGCAATTAGCCATGTGGGAAATCACAGGCTGCTGATCACAGACCTGGGTAAGCATGGCACGTGCACGTTCCCACCAAAACAGCCGATCATATCGCAGATGAACCGTTGCCTCCTACAAAAATACAAATGCTAGCCTGAAGTTTGACCACAGTCTGCTCAGCGGGTGCTCCATCTTTCCAATTTGAAGCACAATTGAATGCCTCGTACCGAGTTCTTCGCAAAATGGTCCAATAGCATCCCCTCAAAAGGGGCGTCCTAATACCCCCATCAACACCTGCCATTGTTTACAAGCTTCGAATTGGCAAAACCTTGAACAACACGGAATATGGGAATCGATTACAAGCGAGCTGTGGCCTGGCCAGCCTGAGCTTCCCTGATCGTATCCTGGGGGGTAACGATGATGGACCGGTTAATGTCCTTGACATTCGGGCAGCCCACGAGGGCCATGGCCAGCTCCAGCTCGTCCCGGAGCATCTGCAGCACCTTCTTCACGCCAGCCTCGCCCGCGCTGGCAAGCCCGTACACGACAGGGCGGCCAATCTGGGAGAGAGGCAACGACGTCTCAAGAGCAGCACACGCGGTTGTTGGAAAAAAGCACTGATCGTCACAATTGAACCAGTATGTGAAAGCCATCTGGAAAGAATCAAGCGCACAAATACCAGAATCTCAACCGTCTACATGCCCAACCAGAGCCTTATCATCACCTGAGTCCGTCCGGACACGGGCCAAAGTAGACTGCATCAAAGCACCACTGAAATGCCCGACAGTTTCATTAATTGCTCTTAAACAGGACGGGTAAGTTTGATAGAGTCCGCTTGGGGACGGAACTCACGAAGACTCCCTGGGCCCCCAGGGCCAAGGCTTTCAACACGTCCGTGCCCCTCCGGACGCCTCCGTCAAGGAACACCGGAATCTTGCCCTCCGCAGCAATCACCACCTGCAGGCAGCCCTGCCAGAGTTGGCAGCCGGAGAAACAGCGCACGACAAACCAGATCCATCACAGCGTACTCCTTCATGATTCGCACAGATCCGAAAGTGAGTGTGCCTCAATGCAGAATTCTATGTTACGGCCGGGCCAGGGCCATATTACAATCTGTGGCCTTTTACAGAGGCTTTCTAGAGGAGACGGCGGGACTAAATACCTCCTCGAGCGCCTGAATGGTGGCGCAGACATAGTCCAGCTGGCGCGCGCCGTGGTTGGACACGATGATGCCCTGCGCCCCATGGCGGACGGCCAGCTTGGCTGCAGCAAAATGCGGCCTGGTCAGGAGCTGACGATGCAAAGTGGTATGCACAGACTGGTAAGATGCTTTCCACCACATCTTCGCAGTAGCTGCTTCTACCCTCGTGTTCCCTCCTAGTGCAATCGAACCAGGCTGCCCCAAGACAAGTAGCTTCCTCGGCTTATGCCTGATGCGTTCCAAGATGCTGGTGATCTGCAGAAGACCGGTCGTTATGGCAGCAATTGCTGTAGACAGACTCGTACAAAATGTTGCTTTGCCGGGCAGCAGTTGCTGTAGACAGACTCGTACAAAATGTTGCTTTGCCCAACAATCAAGGGGTGTGCCTGGCATTAAAATGACGTGGTCACTCACTGTCTGCCGCGCTCATGACGCCCTTCACGAAGATGGGCAGCTTGGTGATGGTCTGCAGCCACTGGATGTCCTGCACTCGGAAAAAAAGCCCATCTCTCAAAACTCCCGCCAGATGTCCGGACGACAAGCACAGTGCTGCTGATCTGAACACAGAAGGCAAGCAAATCGAGCAGTTCAAAGACAGGTGCAGACGTCTGCCGCCTACGGCGGGAAGATCCTAAAGTCGTTGGTTCCGGAAGTTTTTGTGGGTATCAGGGGGCCAGGCGTACCTTCCAGGTGAGGGACCGATCGATCTGGCCCGCAACATATGAGGCCAGGCCGGAGTCGGCAGTCTGTGAAAGGAATCCAAAAACCTTCAATGAACCACAGAGGCAGTCGCAGGTGCAGCCAAGCTCGTGAGAGAACCCAGTTTGTTAACTCGCTCACAATCTTCAACTCCAGCGATTGCTTGGCACTGTTCAACGCGAAGCGCCAAAGCAAATGTGCTGGGAGCTATCCATCAGAAGCTACCCACCGATCCGCTGTGGATAGCCCCTGATCTCTTCTAGTCATAAACTTAAGTAAACGTGAAGCAACATGACGTAAATGTGCCTCTTGAGGAGGCTATGTGCTCCCCCTGCTGAGAACAGGCGCCTCGGCACAATCCTAAGAGGGCAATGTGCCCATTGGTTCCTTCCGAGCCGCCGCGAAGACCTCATGAGAATGGAGTCATGAAGGAAGTACGTGCTACTGCCATCGTGTGTCCAGGGGGTATCTCGTTGAACTTCCGCAAGTAGCTGAGAAAAGGCAGACTGTCTGGTGGCGGAACACAAATGGGGCACCCACCTGATCCATCTTGCCCAAGTCCAGACCCTCGAAGTTCTTCAGAGTCAGGCCCGGGGGCAGGACAAACCTGAAGCCAAGATAGGTCGCATTCAGAAGCGCACCATCGAGCAAGCATGAACGACCCTTGATCACACAGGCTTCAGGGCCAGAACCATCTAGCAGACTTGCCAGCATCGATTCGGGAAGATTGTCAAGCGACCTGGTCAAGTTGCCCTCATAGCTGGAGACAGGATGCATTGCGTGGCGCCTGACCTGTTCTTGATGTCTGCTTCTCTCCTGCCCAGGCGGGGCGTGTCCACAGTGAGCGCAATCGCCTTGAACCCGGCCCGCTCAGCACGGCGCACCAGCTGCTCGACCACGGCACGGTTCTTGTACACCTGCAGCATATTGGATAGAGGTCACTTTTACAGCCGTGTATTGGTGTTCGCTGGAAGAGCCTCTTTCCAAACGCCCATCAACAAGACCTGTTAAAAGACAGCGTAAGCACATGTGGTTCCGAGACATATAACGAAGTGCGCCCTCCACATGAGGAACGTCGTTGCTGGCAATAGCACAAGCAAAGGAAATCATGTAAAAGTGCGTGCTCAGTTCTGTACAACACAACTCCCCGACGTATTAATCAGCACGTCACCCCTAATACTTCCTCCGACACTGCAAGAATGAAATGGTCGGAATGAGGTGACACGGGGCGGAGCAAAGTAGGTCTCATGAAAGCGGCCCCAGTGCTTACATAGAGCTGGAAGAAGCGCAGCCCTGCCCCCACCGAGTTCACCTCCTCCACGCTGGACGTGGCCCATGATGACAGCGTCTGGAGAAGTGCGGGACAGAAGGAAGGTAAGCAAGAAGCATGCCAGGGAGGCAATAAAGAGTCCCTAATGTTGGAGCAGGTGTGTACCAAGATAAGTATACGGTATGCTAAGTCTGCGGTGAGAAACTCACCAGCCTGCTGCTGCTGACTTGCAGCTGCGGCCGTTCAACACTAATAAGGATTGAGTAATGAGAAGTGCACGACGGTAAGAGCAGATGATTCCAACAACCTAGATGGAGAAGATACATGGTAGTTGCTTTCCTGGAGCTCGCAACGAGCGTTTGCTTGCAATGCTGAAATACATAAGCAGGCATGCTTTCAAAGCAAGGTATTTGCTGTCTTGCTAATGCAAAAAGCAACGCCAAGGGCAAAGCGCGTATGACCAAGCATACACCGCGAAGATGCCGAAATGATGATCAGAACTCAAAGCGTTGTGCCAGCATTCAGAAGGTTAGCATCTGTAGCAAGTCCAACCTACTCACCATGGCTGTTCCCATTGCAGCAGCGGCACGTGCAGTGGCAAGCTCACCTGCACAAAGCAGACAAAAAATCAGGAGAAGGTGAAGTAAGTGTTCCTGCGTATTCTTATTCAAATTATTTAGTTCCGCTATTTAGGGATGCTGAACCCCAGTAGCTGAGCTATTTTACAGTCAGAATCCTGACAAATCCTCGGCCCACTCGCGCCCTCTTTCCTATTAAAGAGAAAAGGATAGGAGTGCGCGTGCACTCACCCTCTGGATGCGCCATCTTTTGCATGGCCGTAGGTGCAACCATGATGGGCATGCTCAACCGGTGACCCAGCACTGTGGTGCTAAGGTCCTGCTTGCTCACATCCACCATGATGCGGGGCTTCAGCCTGCGCAACCAATGGAACGAACCTCTGCAGAGCTTGCGGGGTGCGGGCCTTGGTGCAAGAATACTTAGCATCCACAACCTTTTACAAACAATGCAGGGCATGATGCAATGATGAGTTCGTTGACACAAACCCTAGCAAAAGGCAGCAGACCCTGACGGTCCTCAGAAATTCTGCCAAAGGTTGTGACAACCGCAACCCACCTGAACTCCTCAAATGCAGACCGGTTGAGCTTCAATGTGTACTGATCTTCCGCTCCAGATGCATAGTAGTCAAAAACCATCTTAGGCAACTTCTTCTTTGCAATCCCCTCAAACTCCATCACATTGGTGATCTCCTCCATCAGGTTCTCCATGGTGAGTACTGCCCAAAACAAAATTCTTCCGTCACCTTCTGTGCTCAATGTTCCTTGATGCTACCCTTTGTAAGCAAACAATATTATTATCGTGGCACTTGTTGGGGACGTGCAGCAGCTAGGTACCTGCAATGGTTGCACAGCGCCGTCACCCAGGACGAAGTGCTGAGATAGACAGGCTTGCAAATGCAATGGCACTTTTCCAGGCCCAAAACTGGCCACTTGGCCGATCGCGTTGTAGACGTACGTAACCCGGCCGCGTGTAACTAGACCGAGACTCGATCTTCCTTTCGTGGGTCCGATTCGGGATCATGTATGTATAACCATTGATTGGCCTAGCAACGCGTTGAATCGACGGTCTCAAACAAGGGCTTTCTTTTACCAAATCTACGCCGTCAAATAATGAAATCCAGTATTAAAAGAATATCGAAACCGTCCGTATGCCGGCAACTTGTCGGGCAAGTAATGATAATCAAATCCCATTTATTATTAGTTTATTAGTACTCGCGAATCGCGATTCGGAACCGTCAATTGTAATGCCCCGTGACCGCCACTTAGCGGTCAGCACCACCGGTAACGAGTACAA